AAAAGATTATAAAATTGACAGCATATCTTTACTTAGGGCATTTGTAAACAAAGCTTGACTCTTTCCAACTGTAATCCCTTGTATCTGTGATGACTACATTGCTCATGCTGAACAAAAAAAGCATTGATTAAACACACTCGCTACAGACACACCCCAAAAGTGGAGGTGGTGTTAGTAGTGTTAGTAGTGGACTGTATACTGTATACTGTAGTGGACACGCGCCGTTAGTGAAGTGTGCCATTTGGGACATGGCCTCTAAACCCCTCCTTTCCACAAGCCTACTCTGCTCTGATTGGTCAGACGGCCCAGTCTGTTTTGATTGGTCTACCGCAGTTGGTGTCGGAAACAAAACATTAGCATATCTGAATTTCAGCTACACAGCACTTAATACGAACAGTAACAATGACATCAGATTTACTATATCAATTCAAGCCAGAGTCCTCATCCTCACCCTTTGCTTTCGCAGCGCAGAAAACGCGTGTCTTCTTCTCGACACGTCCACAATACGAACCAAACTCTTTCAGGCCTCAGCTACAACTGTTTGAGGGCGGGTAAAAGTAGATGTTGTTCACGGGCAGCCAATGAAGACCATAGGTTGGCAGGCATTATGCAAATTTGTTACAAATCAACAAGTAGTTAGACTGGAATTACCAACTAGTCATTTCAGGCAGTTCAGAATCTGTTCTTTCTTTTGGGAGACAATAACTTAATTTATCGTACACTTTGATCTTTAAAACTTTGCAGACCTTTTATATTCTCAAAGAGCTTTATAACACAACAAGAAAGGTAAAACTCCAAAAAATTATAATAGGGGGACTTCAATTTACTGCAAGATGATGCGTTTTTTTTCTTTTTTTCTAATACATTATTCCAATTCAAATCTAAAAAGTTATATATGGAGGATAAAGGCAAAATGCTACCTTATGTACCCTTATCATAACAAAAAAAAAAATGTTGGATTAAATTTCTTTTTTAAATGAACAGCAACACATATTTATTGTTAAACTCATTATACGTGTATATGAGTGATCCTAATGGCAGTTTAGAATGGCCCTTAAGAACTGAAAAGGAGGTAAGAAGACAAAAGGAAAAATCCAAATACCATTTGAAATATACTTTTTGAGAAAGATATGATGCAGGCCTTTAACCTGTGACCATACAGGTTTGCTGACAGCACTGACAACAATAAGGAGTCTCAAAAGAAGAGAGAGAGAGGTAAATAATTTACTCCATTATCTGCACTGCAAAGCTCATCAGTAAGCCTGAACAATAGGCAAGATTGAAATGCTGATTGCATCTCTCTTTGCCTGCTAGGTTCTTTACCTCCCTGAATTCTGCATTAAAGAGGAAGAGAGGCACATTGAATATTGTTCAATGTCAAACGGCCATTATAGTATACAGTATCAATCTAATTAAGAGTCAAAGATCAAGTCAGAACTCAGGCTGTTTCTACAGAAGGAAATGGTTATGGACAGTTTTTCTAAAGCACTATATGAATGTCTTTTCTCTGTTTGTTTTTTTTGTTTGTAGAAATGACTTAAAACTCTAAAGAGCAATTGGATAAAAACAAATGGGTTAGACCAAAGCCTTAATCATAGACGTCAAACAAATTACTCATCATGATGTTTATATTGAAATGTCTCTATGTGGTTTATTTCGATTTCTTTCCAAGTGAGCAATCAGATTTTTCCAGTACCTGTGTCATTCGCCTTGTAGTAAAGTCAAACCACGTCCTACATTTTTAGCTTTTCCTAATTATCTTTCCACATCATGGGAACAACTCCCTTAATTGCTATTTTTAGCTTGCATATAGTCAAGGAAGCCTAAACGCCCCCAGAATGGAAATAATGTGCTAGTTTCCTTGGCTCTCCGTTGACTTTGAACTTTGTTTTTTATCCCCCCCACCTTCCGATTTAGATCACCGTGTGTCCATCAGATGAAGGCGTTTTCATAGCAAGCATAATAATTCCCTTAAGCCAAGTGCTCAGAGGTCCTGCCTTCTGTCCTGAAGAGTAGGAGGTCAGTGTCTCTCCTCCTCTACGCTCTGTTTGTTTTATGGAGCACTGATTTCAAAACACCACGGCCAGTTTTACTCCACAGCCCAGCAATCTCCTCTGATCTACCCAGAAAAAAAAAAAAAGAAAAGAAAAACAGCCATTTTGTCAAAGGTCCAGAGGGTTATGGTTGTCAAACCCAGGCAGCCTTCATTAGTTGAATGAGGTCATTATTTTGACTCTGATTTAGAGGTTATTTCAGAACAGAGACTCACAGTAGGCCTAGTCTAATGGTGGTGAGCTTTACTTTTCAACCTTAAGTAAGCCTGGTCATATCCTTTAAACATAAAGAAAGCAGACTCATTCAGCCTATTATTAAAAATACGGCCAATCATGTCACACTCATCTCCCTGTAATTTTACAAACAGGGAAGTTCAATATGCCACTTAGTCTTTTCGGACATTTTGGTAAAAGCTTCTTGAAGACGTTATGACCTAAAAAAGTCTTCTTCTCAGAAATGCTAAACTTATTCTCTGGAAAGGCACATCACCAGCCTACCATCTGCACACAGTGACTTAAACCGCATATAGTGTCATTTATGCAAGTGAACAGAGAGAGGGGAGCAAATTGCTGAGGCTGAAGTAAAGAGCTTTTTAGCTGCCACCAAAGCTAAAAGCCGGTGCAGCTCTAATAGAGCAATCTGTATTCTTAATGGTAATGCCCTGTTCGTTTGGTCCATTTGGCTCAGTACAGGTGCATTAATGGGGCTTGTTGAACAGTTCCAGCTGAGCTGATTTAAGGAGAAGGACGGATCAGTGAGGACAAGACTCCCTCTTGTGGAGGAAGGAAGAATTACTAGAAGGACTGTTGGACGTCGTAATAATTCATTTGGATTTAATACAATATAATTTAAAGAAAGAAAGAAAGAAATTACAGTATGCCCAATCTATTCTATTATGTCACACGATTTCAATATCACCTGGATCATTATATAAAATATCCAGTTTGATATTGGCAAATATGGCGATTTATGTAATCATGGTAAGGTTTTACACATTCTATCAAACAAATATGTTGAAGTGTTAATAAAATTGCATTGTGCCATTTCAAGCAAAATTTGTATATTTGAATGTGTTGGGGTGTAATTATGCCCTCAGAAGGGTGCTAACAGGTAAAACCTCAAAGTGCTTATAGGAAGAACATTGCATGATGATTTATTCTTTTTAGTAGTTTACTAGCCTATATAAATTCATGATAATAGAGTTTAAAGAAGTGACAGACAAGTGCTTAATGACTTGTCCTTTAATAATTTGGTGATAATGATTAGAAATACATTTTATTAATAAAAATATGTTGGTAACAGGGTTGATTATTTTTTGTCAAACTTTAAAAATTAATGTAAAATTAAGACAAATTGTTAGCATTTATTTCAATATGATCTATTTTTACACTTTTAAATGCTACATTTTAAATAAAAATGTATTTGCAAACACAGCAAAAGTCTGGGAACAGACAAAAAAAAAAAAATCATCATAAAGTAAGAAAACTGTTAAAAAGATTTAAATAATGCCATGCTATCACTAAAAATAAAGCTATTCAAGTTAAAATAAAAATAAAAATAAAGTTTTAATGCAAATGCCATCTAAATGACTTAGAATGACCCAGCTAGGACAATACTTTTAGGCTGCCAGAATGTTATACGTGTTTGATATTTTACCCATCAGCAATCCTTCAAGAGATATGGTCATTTTACTTGTATATTAGTATATTAACTTAAATATATTTGAAACAAATAATAACTCCGATAAAAATTAGGAAACTCAATGACATGGAAACAAACAAATGATTGCAACACTACATCAACAGAACACTAATTAACCTTCTCCCTTGCAAATCAATACATGGTACAGGCTGTTTTTAATTGAGGAGTAATTATCAGCCCGTTTTCATCTGCCTAATGAAACGATGCTTTGTTTCGCCCGGAGCAAAAGAAAAAAAAAGTTAATTGAGTTCTCTTTTGTGAAGCAGACGTTCTCTCCTTGTCGTTGTCTGTCTGTCTTTGTGGAGATGAAGGCTGTTGTTGGCTGTGCACTGATCACGTTGGACACGCTCACTCTCCTCCCGCTTTTGGTCTCTACCACTTCAGAATCAGAGGTCATTTTTCCTATAGTCACCATGACAGTCTGCCCTTGTTTAATGGTAAAACTGTAAAACTGAGATTGAGCAACCGATAAGAAGAAATGTCCATTACTTGTTATACTATAGTGCAGCTACTATTACACTTCTGTGATATGATTACATCAAGTTAGCCAACTGTCATATATTTAAAGTCAATGTGAAATTCTGCTCATAACTAATTTTATGTAATGTGACATTTCTGATTGTAAAATATTATTCTACAAGAAAATAAAATGTAGGACATGACCTGAAAATAGACAGTGGGCATTTGTGCAAGTTATTAATGATATTATAAAGAAAACAATATTATACACTAATAATAATAATAATAATATATGACCAAATCTGTATAGTCTTGTAATATATAAAATATAAATAAATAAACATCATAAACATACTCCCATTCAAAATTTGGGCTCAGCAAAAAAACAAAAACAAAATTTTTTGAAAAGAAATGAATTCTTTTGTTCAGCTGGGATACATTAATTTGATCAGTGACCGGAAGGATGTTTAAATTGTTACAAAATATTTCTATTTCAAATAAATGTTCTTTTTCATTTTCTATGTATCAAAGAAAAATTGTTTCCAGTTTTCACAAAATCGTATTAAGCAACCCTTAGTCAACACACATGATTAATTAATAGGATCAATATATTTGATAAATCTGTAAATAAGTAAAACTTTAACATGTTTAATATTTAACTGATGTCTTAATGTAACACATTAACTTTGACAGTCCTAGAAAACACATATAAAGCCCTGTTTGAAAATCTCTGGAATGAATTGTTGCTTGTAAGAGAAACTAAGCATCCTGAAAACAACATGGTCTCACAGACAGTTAAGTTTATTTGAAATGCTTTGAGACAGTTTATATTTTAAAAAAAAGATAATGAAAGATAAAGGACCCAACATATAAGGGAAGAACCCAAAAATAAACGGAAAGCTGGTATCTTTAAAAGTTTAAAACACAGACGTTGTTTAAATGATCCGAACAACTGCTGAAACCAGGGTGGAATAAATGATTCATGAAGGCACTATTGAGTGTACAACTAATGTTGGTTTAAACCTTTTCTTTTCTTTTTTTCATATCTTCTGGTAGAACACATTATAATAATAATAATAATTTGGACTTCTGAGAGGGTAGCAGTCTGTTGAGAACATGGTCCTGACCGCTACAAGATGATACCAGTAGTTAAGACTCAAGGAACCAGATCTGGACTGAGAAACAGGATCATGGAGGTCATGGTCTTCTATTCAAAACAGTCTCTGTACTTGAAAGTATACGGACAGTGCAACTTCTATTTCATTATTTTAGAGTCTTCGGGAGTTGTGATGGAAAAAAAATGAGCAATAGAAAAGAAAGCAAGCACCAGTGGGTTTCTCAAAAAGAAGTCTATTTTCTAACTAATTTTAAACTCTACAGCTTTGAATTTCTTACAACCATTTGGTCCAATTACATAAAATATACACGTAAATACAATTTGTACAGATATGAAATCTGTTTCACCACTTTCTAACCTCCGGCTATAGGCTACAATACCTTTACTAAAGTCTGTAAACACTGTTCATGGCATTCTATTAAAAATCAATATACACAATGCAAGAAAGTGATAAGAATTCACAAAACCACAGTTAGTAGTAAAATAAGGAGGTACCCCTAATGTACCAAATGCCTGGTACAAAAAGTACCCCTTTTGACCCTGTTCAAAATTCATATTTCACAACAATGACTGATGGCCAAAAAAGCTTCTGTCATTTTCTTTTGGAAGGCATGATGAATTATGTGAAAATGTGATGTTTATGTCACAAGTGTTTTCACTGCTGTGAAAGTCCATAAAAAGAGACTGGGCTCGAAGAGACTTGATAAAGAGAGTCGTGGTCAGCACTGCGTAAAGTCTCTCTTTCTCTCTCAAAAAAACAAACAAACTAAAAAAACAGGCTCTAAACCCCTCAACACCTCTAGTCTAGGACCTCCAGGATTTTGTGTCCACATTTCTTGACTTCCTCTCTTCCCAGTGAAAGTGACAGAACAGTACATGAACAGGCCGAACGACACATGGACCGTGATAATGCAAACTCTAGGTTACTTTTGGATAGATTTTCTCGTAAAAGAAGTTCTGAGCCAGCAGGTAAAGCTCTCCGTCTTTTTCCCTGACGCTGTGAGCGCGCACAAACTGAAACTGTTCCAGCGCAAACTCATAGAACTCGTTCTCCATCTTCCATATGTTGGACTGCTGCAGCTTTGAGATGGACTCTTTAGTGGGAGGTTTCTTCTCGCTTGTTTTCCTCAAGTGAGACTTCTTACCTGCAGTTGAAGTCAAAGACAATAAAATGCAGGTCACTCAGGAGGTTTTACTGGTTAGTATCATCAACATTTTTTTTTAATGCTGAAAACCTGAATAAGACAAACACATGAGGGGCCTTTTAATAGCTAATGTATTGAATTTTAACTTCACATGTTAAATATGAGCTAAAAAAGTATAACTATGCGATGATATAATTATTATAGCGATGCGTGTTAAAGTGATTTTGGTTGAAAAAACAAAATGAGGTTAAGCAATCTTTATTTTCCTTTCCTAACAAAAACGAGAAGATTTTTAGTGAAAAACATAAAAAAATTTGCCTGACTTCGTCATACTCATATTCTAGTCAGAATGTGAGTCTGATACTGCTCCATAGGGCTTTGATTATGAGGCGTGTCTTAACCGAACCAGGAAAAAAACAACAACTCTGCACTCAATTGGATAGACCTACAACCAATCAGAGCAACGCAGTAAGTGTTTTTTTTATGAGCTACGCAAATTGTCAACAGCCTCAACTGCACGCACGCTGGAAGTAGTAGTAAAATAATGAGTGTTGCTTCTTTTACTTGGTCCTCCATGAGTGCGAGTGTGCGACTAAAGGAGAAACCACAACGACCACAGGGTTTTCATTGCGTCCCATCTTCTTAGGGACCATTGGAGCCAGCTGATAAAATAAACTTTTGCCGAATCCCGTAGGAAGGACGGCAAACACATCTTTACGATCGACAAATGCCTTGATTGCAGTTCTCTGTTCATCTTTTAAAATGAATGCGCTGTTGATTTCTTTTACAACAGACACAATAGCGGAATCTATACATCTCAGTTCTCCAGCTGCAGTCATCTCTGAGGGAAACCAGTTCAACCAAAGCGCTCTTTGATGACGTGATGATTACGTAACTGCAGATCATCTGTCCATCATCGTATAAAGCCCGCCCTGGCAATTTGATTGGCCCGACTAATTCTGAACCGATCATAATTACTCCTCAATGGATCGAGTCCAGACCGAACTTCCCGACCAAAAAATGCTGTGGGCGGGGTTCGGGCTGGCATCCAGGTTAATAAAAAATAGCATTTGGTGTGTAATCTGCTTTATGCACACCGCAATCAGTACAATTTTTTGTTTAAAGAAATGTATTATTTTATTCAGCATGGATGCATTAAATTGATCAAGTGACAGCAAATATGCTTATAATAATGTTACAAAAAAATGTGAGAGGAACCTCGTGCTCCAGACTGCCATGAACGCGCACAGGACGGTTTGCAGAGGCTGTGGATTACAGGTAATAATGTCGTAAATAATGTTCGGTTTATTGCATAGACTGATCGTTTCGCTTCTTAATACCTTAATGTATCATCAGCCATGGGAATTAATTTTATTTTCTCTGCAAATGTTTTTTTGAATCTCAAAGTGATGGGACCCATTGACGTCCATTATATGAATCACAGAGGACCACGGTTTCAGCTAAAAATCTTCTTTACAGTTCGACTGAAGAAAAAAGACATCTACATCTTGGATGGACTGAGGGTGAGTAAATTAAAAGCAAATTTTCATTTTGGGGTGAAATATCCCTTTAACACTAGAAGTGCCAGAATTCCACAACTACTAGAACTGCCACAAGCGGTCATTTTGACCGTTAGATTGCAAACTCTATAGCCTATCTTTAATGATAAATACCCAATTGAGAGATTAATGCATTTATTGTATTAGGAGGATATCTTTTAAAAACAAAACAACACCAAGCTGTACATTTAACCCTCTGGGGTCCTTCATTTCAGAGTCACATTCAGGACCTTCGGGTCCAAATGGGCCGGAAGGGTGGGATTAATATTTATTAAAAAAAATCATCTTTTTTTTATTTTTACTTGTTTTTTATAATATTTTTTCTTTTCTTTTTTGGTGTTTTGAGATAATTTCAAAAATAAAAATGATTTATAATTAATATTAATGCAATAATTATGACCCATTTTTTCCCCATTGAATATAATAGAAATTTAAAAAATATATATATTTTTTATTTTTTATTTTTTAAGCTGTATTTCATTTTAGAGTCAAGCCTAGGCCTCATGAAAGCAATTTTTGAAATGAGATGGATGCCATCTGGTGGACAAACTGAGCATTTTAAAAATTCAAAACCCATATGTAATCTGAATTTATTAGTGTGTATGTGTATAAAAGTGTGTTTGTGTGTGTGTGTGTGTGTGTGTGTGTGTGTGTGTGTGTGTGTGTGTGCGTGTGTGTGTGTGTGTGTGTGTGTGTGTGTGGATGTGTCTGTTTTGCACTCTTGATGTTTTATAGATTCACCCCTTCACTGTTGTGTGCTTTTTTTCTGGATCGTGGCTGATTTGTAGTTTGTACGCACAAAATAACTCTGTATTTTCACATTTTTGCCAATTTCCCATTCATTTCCTATGCGGGTCCATTTGGACCCGAAGGTCCTGAGTGTGACTATTTTTTTTACAACCACTTAGACTATTCAAATCCTGTCCCCAATTTTTTGGGGTGTTCATATGCCAAGTACCAACAAAGTCACCAAATTTCGGACCATTCCGATAAAGCAATGATTTAAAAAAAAAAAAAATTTAAATGCTTCGGGTCCATTTGGGCCGAAGGACCCCAGAGGGTTAAAAAAGTTTAATTATACATTTATAAATAATAATATCATTAGTAGGCTAGCCTGTAATTATCGCATATTCACAACAGATAGGCTATATATTCCATATCCATTCAACATAACTCAGAACAAGATAATAACAACTAAAAGTATCTTATTTAGATATTTTTTTGACAGTGAGAGAGACAATGTCACGGTTTATGAATTCGCTGTCTCCTTTCTCGTCTTGTTGTGTGTGTGTGTGTGTGCGTGCGCGTGTACGCTGATCATTGCCGCTGATCAGCACGCCCGCTGCTTCTGATCAACGCGCCAGCTATAGCGGATCAGCGAACCCTTTTAGTGTCACTGTTGTCGCCTAGTCTTTGTCAGACCGTCGTGAATGTTTCCTGCGTGTTTGTTCCCTGCCTGTATCCGTTTTCCGTGTGTCATCCATCCGTGTTCAGCACTCCATGGTTCTACACGCAGCGTGCCTGTGCTGCCAAGGGCTTCATACCGGACATTTGCACACCTTAACTCTCCCAGCATCTGACCAGCTCTCAATAAACATATCTGTCATTTTGCAATTGAATCTTCTGATTATTTCCTAACAGACAAAGGTCAACCGCGAGAAATGTAACAAAAGAATACCTCGAAATTCAGTGCGGTCAATATGACCGTCTATGGCCGAAATAGGTAAATATGTTCATTTGTTTTTTTGCCTTGTGTATAATTTATATTAAAAACATTTTAAATGAAAATACAGACACTTTTAGGAAAAGTCAGGTACCAGCAGAATTTTATTTATTTTTTCAACAGTTATTGTAGATGTAAAATTCAAAACGATCAAAATGACCGTCGTGGCCGTTCTAGTGTTAAGGTACTTCACTCATGGACTTTCATAGATGTGCCATGAATTTGAACTACAAACTCACAAAGCTATCATAAGCCCCTTTCACACAGCGCTTTGAACCCTGGACTGACTGGACTGAAGTAGAGACCCGTCACATCCAACGTCACGTGTCTTTCCGGAACATACACGGTTGTGTGTGAACGCGCTCTCTGATTCCGGCAAATCACTGGCAGTGTGAATGAAGCAAAATCAAACGAACCGGCCGGGTCAAATCCCGGGTCACTTTATCCGTGTATTTTCCGGAATCTCTGTGTGAAAGGGGCTATATTCACCTTCTGTGTTGCATAGAAGAAAGTACGTCAGCTTTGGAATGAAAACATTGAGTAGATGTAGTAGAATTGTTATTTTTGGTTGACCTATTCGGATCAAGTACCTGTGCGGTAGAGGTCAGTTGCTCCTCTGAAGAAACGTGGTAGCGCTGCCTCGAGCATCATGATAAAATCCTCCAGCTCCTCAGTCACTCCCACTAGCAGATACTCATTCACCAAATTGTACTTGGCCTGCTCGAGAGCCCATCTACTGCCAACATTCCTGCACACACAGACACACAAGATCAATTCCAGCTCCTACATAGTTGAGAACAAATCAGTAATGGGTGATTCAATCAATTAATGTAATGAGAAAGAGCATTAAATGAAAAGCAGAGTAACAGGCTGCAGACTGCTCATATTACCCACCAGCACTCTGAGTAATGGCCACAGAAGAACGGGATCTGTAACCAAAGCTTCTCAGGAGTGCAATCAGAACCTCCTGACGACACACACTCATCAAACGTCTGAAACACAGTCACACACATTGCATCTCAGCATTCGTATGGTGAGAACATGAAATGTTATTTTTCATAATGGAGGCATTATCAAATATTAAGAGATAAAAACCTTCAAATGCAATACCTTTTTGTCGCCCTGCTTTCTCCGTCTGAGACCTGGCCGATAATCATCTCCAAATCGGAGAAAATAGTAGTAAGACACCAACCTCTCGATGGGGTCCCGTACGATGTTGATGTAAACCGGCTTCCCCTTGATCCCAAACCTATTTGGGGGAAAAATATATTATACACACACAGATGTCTGGTTTATTATCTTTGTGGGGACTCTCCATAGACGTAATGGTGTTGTACTGTACAAACTATATATTCTATCCCCTGACACTATGGGTTAGTGTCAGGGGATAGAATATATAGTTTGTCCAGTACAAAACCATTACCATGTATAAAACCTTCAGCATTTTTACATAAAAAAAAAAAAAAAAAAAAAAAAAAAAACCTTTTCTGTATGATTTATAAGCTTGTTTCCTCATGGGGACACGAGACCCCATTTAAGTAGCTGTGAAAAAAACAACAACAAAAAACATTACTGGTGTGAAATGGCACTGACATATTTTAAGATTTGTCAGTGCAAACTACTACAATTTCTTCATTTGTGATACATGTTTCTTTTCCTTTCATGACAGCAGCACAAACTCCACACATATAAAATAAAATATTCAGTGTTCCAAAATAAAGGCTTGTTCCATTTTTAACCACTAGAGTGCAGAAGCACCTAAATGTATCTTCTCTTCTCACATCAGTCAATTATGTAGCTGTCTGATGGACCTCTCTTATTCAGGAACAGACAACAATTAATTTACTAAGGCAATTGCTTTCAGTAATTGTTGTGATGATTGTATATGAATACAGCAAAAACTCACTTTGTGAAGTCCAAGTAGGCGACATGGCCATGGTAGAAACCTGGTTTCATTTCTCGCCAGGATGTCACGTTCCTTACAAACCTCATCTGTAAGCACAAGATAACACATTCGATTTGTCCCTGTGCACAGTTTATAAACCACTAAATTTATTTTAATGCATGTGTGATATGCCTCCATCATTCAAGCATCAACGATATCCAAATCTCAAATAACAATCTCGCACTGACGTACTGCATCTGTCACAGTCTGCTGAACAAACCAGCCAAGTGACTACTTAATACAAACCAGACACAAACACATTTCAGCAATGTTTTCTCCAAACATCCTCCCCATAGTCCCACAGCTAAACTCCCCTGGGAGGGGAGAGGTTGTACCTCCTGCACCGTCGACAGGCTTCGTTGAAAGCTAGACTAGATATCACCTTGGCAGAATTACCCACAAATAACACCTTCCCTCCCTATGCTCCAAAGCATTTTATTTTGCAGATGGCAAGATGACATGAATACAAATTCAAACGTATGCTCATGATCGCAGTCCGACACAGCCACACGCTGAGTTGAATAACGTTGACACGTGTGAGGTCAAAATGACGAGGGAATGCTTTTTGTTGAAGGCAACACTTTCAACCCTGCAAATAAAACGGGTGCATTCGTCAAAACCCGAGATTGATTTCCGTTAGCTGACAACACGTTCCTCTATGTAACAATACATATGATGAATAGAGAATTGTATTTCTTTGCTGCTGTCAACAAAATCTGCACTTCATTCTTTTTCCACCCTTGTTCTTCGTTTTATCTCTGGGTTCAGCTTGTTCAACGCTGCTTGTCACACAAAGGCACAGCAGCAGTGTGGATATTGACAGTAGGCTATGAATAATGAAGGTGGAGCCAGAGACGAGAAGGCTTGTTAGAGAAAGTGTGCGACAGAAACACAGGGCCGCTGCGCTGACATCACCTGGCCTGTCAGAGTGAGAATTGAGCAAAAGATCATCCCGATCTCATAAGTACACAATGCACAGGTGTGTCTGTAAAATGTAACTAACAGCTGGCATATTCAGACATTGTCTGGCTATTTAATTATCTTGTAAGCATATTTAAAAATGAATGCCATTTTTTACAACTCATCACCTGTGAGTATACGTAAAATTTGTTATTTTTTAAATAACCTATTTTTTGTTAGCTGACACAATTTAAACCTATAATATCTCAATTTAGGTTACACCTAAACACTACTTTAAAACAAATCTTACAGACCTCCAATGTTTGAAGAAATTAATACTTTTATTCAGCAAGGATGCATTCATTTGATCAAAAGTGACAGCAAAGACTTTTTCATTGCTGCAAATTTTTTTTTATTATATTTCAAATAATGTAAATACCGGTATGCTGTTCTTTTGAACTTTCTATTCATCACATAAATCCTGGAAAAAATTAGCACAATTTCCACAAATATATTAAGCAGCACAACTGTTTTCAACATTGATAATAATAGGTTAATAATAATTAATTGAAACAAATTCAGCATATTATAATTAATTCCGAAGGATTGTGTGACACTAAATACTGGAATAATGACTTCTGAAAATACAGCTTTGCCATCACAGGAATAAATAGCTTTCTAAAATTTAGAAAGCAGTTATTTTAAATTGCAATTATATTTCACAATATTACTGTTTTTACTGAATTTTTTATCACTGTATCCCACAAGGCAATGCCCTGACTAGAGCTTCCATTTCCAGTCTGATAAATACATCGCAATATCTCAATGACATTTAGGGTGGTTCACATATATAGCACACTTTAAATTAACCAAACCCAGTTATGGACTTAAAAGAGGACTCAAGAAACACAAAAGGACATTGGCTCCATTTAGAGAGGTCTGAGTTGATTTGTGGTGTTCACATTTAGTTACATAAATGTCATATGGACAAAAGTATTGAGAGACACCTCTTAATTATTGAATTCAGGCATTTCAATCAGACCCATTTCCACAGGTGTATCAAATAAAGCACATAGCCATGCAGTCTGCATTTACAAACATTTGCATTTACAAACTTCGTTCTGAAGAGCTCAGTGAATTCAAGCAGGTACTGTGATAGAATGCCACCTTTGTAGTAAGTCAGTTCAACAAATTTCCTTGCTAGATATTCCAAGGTCAACTTTAAATGGCATTATTGGAAAGGGGAAGCGTTTAGAAACAGCAGCAATTCATGAACTTCCGTTCTGAACTTCCATTGGGATTAATATCAGCACAAAAACTGTGCGACAGGAGCTTCATGGAATGGGTTGCCATTGAATGAGCTGCATGCAAGCCTCACATCAACAAGTACAATGGCAAGCGTCGGATGGAGTGGTGTAAAGCAATCCGCCACTGGACTCTGGAGCAGTGGAAACCTGTTTTAATGAAGGTGAAATCTTAATGCTTCAGCATACCAAGACATTTTCGACAAGTTCCAACTTTGTGGGAACAGTTTGGGGAAGGCCCCGCAGTGCACAAAGCAAGGTCCACAAAGGCATGGTTGGATGAGTTTGGTGTGGAAGAAATTGAGCCCTGACCTCAACCCCATGGAACACCTTTGGGATGAACTGGAGCGGAGATTGCTAGCCAGGCCTTCTCTTCCAACATCAGTGTCTGATCTCACAAATGCTCTACTGGATGAATGGGCAAAAATTCCCACAGAAACAGTCCAAACACTCTTGCGGAAAGCCTTCCCAGAAGAGTGGGGCTTCAAAGAGGGGACCAACTCCATATTAATGTCTATGTACTGTATTTAGAATGCGATATCATTACAGTCCCTCTTTGGTGTAATGGTCGGGTGTCCCAATACTTTTGTCCATATAGTGTATATATCAAGACGGCCTAGAGTGCTTAAACAAGCTAGGTGGGAAAATGTCCTTAATCTCTTTTTTTGTCTCGTAAGACTGGATTTGCAAAAAATTAAGAATTTTGGATAAAGAATATTGGATTAAAATGTAAAATAACCTCATTCAGAAATGGCAATCATTTTGATGTAATTCAAGCTGATGTAATGGACATGTTACCTGGTCCTGCAGGGACATGACCGGATTGTTCTTGGTGGTGTTGATGTGGAGAACATGGAAGCGGTTCTTTCCGCACAGGTCGTATGCGATGTTGGTGAAGGAGGTGCTGGCAGTCTTGGGCACACGGTTATAGATGATGACCAGATCCTCAATCTCAGGCAACGCTGGAGAGTCACGCAGACTGTCCCGCGTCTGTCTATGCTCCACCTCTCGCACCTCGTGTCTGGCCATGGTGCGCTCTGCAGGAGAAAGAAGAATTTTCATATTTATTTTTTATTTATATCAAACAACACCTAAAAATATAAATATGTTACTGTAGAATTTCTACAGTCATACTTCATTAGGGTAAAAAAAACAAAGCATTGTTCAGGTCAGCCTTGTACACATTTAAAAAAAACATCTCAAACACTTCATTATGCCATGTTATGCCTGACATTTAGAAATAAATTGAGTTAATCTGACCTTAGATTGTAATAAACATGGCATTAAAGATACAGTGTGTATTTTTTCTATTTTAAAATACCAAAGTACTGGTAATTCCAAAGGACAGCAAGCACATAACAAGAATATGCAATATTACAATGCACTGCAGGTAGTTGGAAAACAAGAGAGAGCGAGAGAGGACGAGAGAAAGAGAGACTACAGCCTACAAATCAGGGGCAGCTAAAGATCTGTAAAGGTTCCCAACAGGCCCTTCAGCCACCTGTTGATTTAGGTGACAGAAAACAGCAGCAGGATGAAAAGCCTGAATAATGGAGCGAGAAAGGAAAACAAAGCAAGCAGTTTCAGCAGCAGAGCGTGTTTTTCTTTATGTACACTACACACACACACAAGCACAATAACTCCACTGCCGGTTTTAAGACATCAGGAGAATTCTGCACCATAAAATCACTCAGCTTTCCGTTTAAGAAAACAGTGTAAAGTAACACACAAGACAAAATATATAGTATAAAGTAATAAGTGTATAAATGTTGTAATTACCCTATATAGGCCTATAATTATATCAGCGCTAAATCACCACTTGAGAACCGGTCTATACACATTCAGAGAGGATAGCTTTGAAAATCCACTTTTTTTCTTATTAAAACTACGTTTTCTGCTGATAATGTACTTTTCCGTATTTCATAGGTTTTCAGTTAAATTCTGGGAGTCACAGCAAGACGCTAAAGACACTGACGACAAAAGCTACACATGATGATCCCAGCGACATTTACACAACTCACCAATGTATGATGAAGAGTTTACAAATTCTAAAATCTAAAGTCTGAATATAGAATCTATTTCAAAATCAGCTCCACACATAAATAAAAACATCAAAATGAATAATTAAACAAATAATTATCGGTCAACTGCATCGACCAAAATTTCCAAATCAGTGTATCGCTAAATATTTTTTTAGACATACCGGTATATGCTTTCCTTAAAATGGAACTGCAATGTTTTTCATAAATAAATAAACAAACAAACAAACAAACAAACAACTATATTTTACATTTTCAACTATAACACATCTGAGTTTGGCAGATGTTTCCAATCTTCAAAACCTGCCACAGAAGTAAGGCACATTGCTCATGAAGCTCAATACAATGTGTGTGCCGCGTGAAGGATCCAATAAGATTCAATGTTCTATATTTTAGCCAACCAATCTGTCGTTTCTGTCCAAACTGTTAAATGCTGTGTGGTCAGAGCTGGACACCCTCTTCCATATAAAGCGAGCACAGCTCACTATCCTTCTGTGCCCTGGAGGTGCTTTCAAAAGACACAAGTGCACTCTTAAAAATAAAGATTCCAAAAAGGGGGTTTTCACGATGCCATAGAAGAACCACTTTTTGGTTCCAAAAATAATCTTTCAGTGATCAGTTCTTAAAAGAACCATTTTATTTTCTTAAGTGTGAAGAACATTTTCAAAATCTAAAGAAGCTTTTACTATTAAGAACTTTTTGTGGAATGGAAAGGTTCCTTTGATGTTAAAGGATTTTTATGGAACCATCAATGCCAATAAAGGACCTTTATTTTGAACTGTGTTTCTCATGAGGGACCAACACTCAACAACAAAACAAGAATTCTCCTGTGGTTCACATGGAGCCAAGAGAGTTCAGGATGGAAACACCAAATATTAAAGTACCATTTGCAATACCCTTTCCTAAATTAATAAATAAATACAAACTAAACCTGCACTGTAAAAAAAATCCCGTTGTTTTTACGGAAAAAAACTGGCAGCTGTGGTTACCAGAACTTTACCGTCAAAAATACGGTATCAACGTTTTTGGTTTTACAGACTTAACGTAAAATTTACAGTATTAAACCGTAATTCATTTTCTGATATAATGCTAATTTACCAACCTATTGAAGTATTAATATCTGTTTTTTACCATTGTAATACACTGACAACCATCAACCATCACAGCAGTGATGAGAGTCACATGATAAATTAAAGCTCATCACAAGCAATCTTCATCAAGAAAGTTAATACTATTATAATGAAGCTGCACAGTGTTATTCGCACAAACATTAAACACCATCATGGTAACACACATGAAATTTTAAAAATACAATAAACATTAATTTAACAACATTAAATGTAACATAAAACCCTAATGTACATAACTGATTAGAAAAGAACTAAGAAAGCTAAGAAGAAACATAGTTATTTCAACAAAAATAAATTAAATGTGAAGTGTCACGCAGGGAATTGTGGGAATGTCAATTTACGTTTTTTCACTGTAAATTATACAATGAGTTGTTCTTTTCACTTTCAAAAACTGTAAATTTAACGGTATTTTACAGTAAAATTACATTAAATGTACCGTTAGATCTATCACAGTTATTTACCGTATATAGTAAGGAAACTTTCTGTTAACCAATTAACAGTTTTGCACTGTAGCATTTTTACAGTCTTTTACTGTTAAAACCACGATCATTTTTTACAGTGTGTATACTATCTGATGCATCACTGTACCAGAACACAAAAAGAAAATGCAGGCATGCCAGTGATTTTGTGCATTGTAATAGATTTTTAATTGAAATAATTAAATATGTAGTTAAAATAATGGTTAGTTCACCCAAAAATGAAAATTCTGTCAACATTGTAAATGTTGTAAAAAAAATATTTTTTCTCTTTTTTCCAAACCCGTATTTTTCTTCTTCTGTGAAACAAAAAAAAAAAAAAATTTAGAAGAATGTTGGAAACCAAACAGTTTCAATTCCCAATTACAGATTGTATTTGTTGTCCATACCAATCAGAACCAAAACTGTTTGGTTCTCAACATTCTTCAGAATATCTTTTTACATTCCACAGCATTCCATTTTTGGGTGGACTTATCTTTTAAATATTTATATTTTAACAGATAAAGATTAAAATAGCATGATATCTTCTGGAGTGTAAAGAAACTAAATAACAGAGTGGAATTTTACGCTCCATGCGCTTATAATGGAAATGCAATCCTGCAAAACAAAAGTATTCAAAATACTGAAATCTTTCCCCAGTCATCGCACTATATCAAACACTCATTTTCCACACAGCAATTATGCAAAGCTCAGTTTGCTAATAGACTCATCAGTCTTCAACAGTGCACGCCTACCAGTGCATTAAATAAGCCACTTAAAATATTGATCAAGTCTTAACAAGCCTCTGTGCATCAGCTGTACTGCTCTAAAACATCCTCCACCGCTGAGGACCCTAACCACACTCGGCCTGACATCCCATCTACACGACAAAACTAGGACACTCTCTTCAAATCAACAGGGCCGTCTACACTGTGACTGACACAAAACATGCAAACTAGAACGCTCCCCTAACACATCCTCACCAGTACAATCCTGAATGGCAGACTGCAGTGCCATAACACTAAAAGCAGCTAATAATAAAAACTTTGAACAATACAAATAATATTAAAAAATATATATACACTCACCTAAAGGATTATTAGGAACACCATACTAATACTGTGTTTGACCCCCTTTTGCCTTCAGAACTGCCTTAATTCTACGTGGCATTGATTCAACAAGGTGCTGAAAGCATTCATTAGAAATGTTGGCCCATATTGATAGGATAGCATCTTGCAGTTGATGGAGATTTGTGGGATGCACATCCAGGGCACGAAGCTCCCGTTCCACCACATCCCAAAGATGCTCTATTGAGTTGAGATCTGGTGACTGTGGGGGCCATTTTAGTACAGTGAACTCATTGTCATGTTCAAGAAACCAATTTGAAATGATTCGAGCTTTGTGACATGGTGCATTATCCTGCTGGAAGTAGCCATCAGAGGATGGGTACATGGTGGCCATAAAGGGATGGACATGGTCAGAAACAATGCTCAGGTAGGCCGTGGCATTTAAACGATGCCCAATTGGCACTAAGGGGCCTAAAGTGTGCCAAGAAAACATCCCCCACACCATTACACCACCACCACCAGCCTGCACAGTGGTAACAAGGCATGATGGATCCATGTTCTCATTCTGTTTACGAAAAATTCTGACTCTACCATCTGAATGTCTCAACAGAAATCGAGACTCATCAGACCAGGCAACATTTTTCCAGTCTTAAACTGTTGAGCTCTTGCAAATTGTGGCCTCTTTTTCCTATTTGTAGTGGCTTTAAAGCAGCACTGGTTGCAACAGCGATGCTGACCTGGCGATCTTGTTGATGGACTAGTAAGTCTATGTTGTTGCGCTTGCGTGTAGTATGTCATTTTTTTTACGATGCTGTTCATTCATCCATTGTTGATAATTAGACCAGTCCAATAATTTCCACATATGTCTAGCTAGCTATTTACGACAGTGCAAGTATTCCACAGCGACTAGGTCGCTGTTTGACAAACACAATTTATTTATAGTGTTCCTTTAATCATTAAAAAAACAACTTTAGAACTGTTCTGCCGTGCAAAGGCAAAAGACCGTAACTTCGTGTTTGGTCGAAAATTAGTTTTTTATATTTTTGGCACATTCAAGACCCCCTTTATCATGTGGATAAGTATCTTGAGTCAATTCCGTCGTTTTTTCGAGAAAATAATGGGTTGTCTTAACAGTAACTTCCAAAAGCCCGTGAGAAACCAAGGCAGAACACCGTAACACCAGTTACCGCTCTTTGGCTTTGTTTTGGAACGCTCATTTTGAGTTACGGTACTCTGCCTTTGTTTAGCCGCGCGTCAATATGAACTTACGGTGCTGGCGTTCTATCAAATATGCTACCTTTCAGATTGTACGGTGTTCTGCCTTTGTTTTGCTCTCCATTAAAATC